TCCGATATTTAATATGCAAATATCATTTTGATATGTAACAGTGAATTTGAAAAAGTGAGGAAACAATTTCAATATACAAGACTGTCTCTCTTCTGAACTGTAATTATACAAAATAAAGCCGGTCGAGGTTTTTTTTTATTATTGGGATTGAATTCTATTAACATGAATCAGAACAAGTCTAATTAAAGGTTAAAAACTTTAAATGTTTCTAATTAAGAGTCTAAATAGCTGCACGATTAGAGTACTATGGTTAAAATCCCACCTCGATGACCTTCCTGGCCTCTTTGTATTTTCCTGTTTGCAAGAAGGCGAAGAAGAGATCATAAAGAGCCATCATGTCACCATATTCTCTGCTTATAAAGTCTGAAACTAAAGAGAGAGTAAAGCTCATTAATTTACTGAATATATTGAAGCATTTTAATATATACATCAGATATTCTTAATACTAGTATTTTCCAAGCATCACAAAAACTCCAGGAATAAGCTACAGGAAGACAAATTTTGAAACATACGGAACGATTACAACACACTACACAATTTGTTGTAGCTTTGTGGTTCAGCATATTTAAAATGTTTTTCTGGTTTTTTGCACTGTATTTTGAATTACGACCAACGAAACAGACAGACTATACATTGGCATTCTCTACTTGCAGAGAGTGAGGATTCAGGATTTCTTAACTGCACAACTATTTGAAAAACAGATGCGCTGATTTACTATTAAGTTGTTTCTTAATAGTAAGATACATAGCTAGGACAAGTATTAGCACTAATTTTTGAGGGCTCAATGCTGTATTATCCAAACATTAGGATTCTTCTGGAAAACTCAAGCATCATTTGAGCGCTCTGAAGTTACACATAAAAACACAAACAATTTTTTTTTCTTTCAGTTGAAAGAAATTATTTACAAATCCTGGAAGAAAAGCCTCCAGAAAACATGCCATATAACCAGATAGCATTTGACTACATGCAACTAACCCTTCTGCAGAAGATCAGAGTCTCCTTTTTCTATCAGTTTACAGTAGACGTTATGAAGCTGAAGAATTTTACCATACTTCTTGTAACAGCTGATTAAAGCTTCCAGAGCAGCATGCATGTCACCCCTTGTGGAATGAAACAAAACGAATAAAAACAATCAGGTGTTATGAGCAGGGGCAGCACAACGCTGTAGTCTTGAAAATTTCAAGGAAAATTCATTCAGCAGTTTACAATCCCAGAGTGTATTCCCCCCCACAATATTCTACAGTTATTTTTAAATAACGAGTAAAGTTTTCTTACAAACAAATACCGTGTATGCTTGGCAGCCACAGAAATAAAAACTGAACTACAGATTTATGCTTAAACCTCCTGGCTACGTAATTTTTGATTGCATGACCACTGTTCACTACAAATTAACCAAAGGTGTGAATGCTCTTCATCGTTAGATGCACTTAATATTTGAAGTAAAATTCTTATGCTATGTACTATTGTGACAAAACCACAATTCCCAGAAATCTCAGTTTGTATTTAAGAATTCTATTTTTCTTGTTTATAAGTAATATTGTGCATATTATACTACCTCCAAATGTCTCTGTTTAGACATTTTCAATTTTTAAGCTCTTTAAAATTTTTCCACAGCATTTTTATTTCAGTATAGAGCTCCAGAGTTAACTAAGATAACCACAGTTCTTTAAATCGCTTAGTACTTGTTTTACACCTTAACAGACTACCTATAACTCATCTGTTGATTTCCATTTCATCACAACTGAAGGGCTGGCATTTTTCCATTCTATATAAAGGTCAAAACCCGATCTGTATGTAATTTTTGCAATTAACTCAACAACATATTAAGGTACCAAAATGTATTTTATGCTGGCCTACCCACGTCACGTAGAGCCACGGCACTAGTATAGATCCATGGTACTAGTAAATTAGTGCTTAAGATGCTCACTTCCTTAAATGCACTTACTCAGGAGCCTTTGAGCAGTAAGCACCAGTAACAAGTACAGGATTTCCATTTTTGTTATCTCAGTCCTTTGCCGAATTTTTCCCTAAAAAAAACAGTATTAACACCTTCAGAAGTATACATAGTTAAAAAGCAAAACTAAAAAGCCATAAAAACAATCAGATCTGGAACTCAAATTAACCACAAATATATATTAACATTCTACACCGTGCAACTAACAGAACTAAATCATCTGCTGCAGACTCTTTTTCAAAGTATTACAACCCAATCTAAAAAAAAACAACCCCACAAACCAAAAGCAAAGACAACCACTGAAACACTGCTAAAACAATACGTGAAGTTATTCTTTGAAAGGGAATGTTTAAAACTGAAATTGAAACAAAGCAAGATGACACATACAAAATGTAGTAAGCAGCTAAACAGTCAACAAGACCGCATTTTAGATTCCAAAAGGCTTATCAAACACAGCATGGTGGAAGTAGGCAAGGGAAAAAAATAAATAAATTAAAAAGAAAATAAAAATCACTCAACAGCAGCAGCTGAAGGCTGTAATAAAACTGACTTGAAATAATGATTCTGCATTCCTGAAGCAACTTTACTATTGATCAACTGAACCTTAGCAAATTAAAACACTACTGTTAACATAAGCCAAATTCAGATGTCCTCTCCTCACATTGCATTTGCTGTGCATCACAAATTTTGCCTTTTTAAAAGAATGAGATTATCTAGAGTACTATATACTACTATCTTCATCCAGGCTAATATTTTAAAAATTTTAAGAGTAACACAGAAGAACTAATTTTGCTCAGCACTAGTGGCATTCTGTAAAACGAACCTAAGATGACGGATTTCTACCTTATCCCCCTTACCGAGCCCTGTTTACAGTGCATCTTCTGGCACCCCATGGAGTCATTTGAATTTTTGTCATTTGGGGTGAAGACTAAATTACAGGTTAATTTCAAAACTGCAAGTAGATGTTGCAGGCTAGATTACTGTCATAAAAGAGAAATACTATGGTAGTTACCACAGACATATAAAGCTTTATATAATCAGTATTTTTCTGCTGCTTTAGATGCAAGTTCAGTTAACATCTAAAAAAACCAGTTTTACAGAAAACTGCTCAATTTCTAAGAAGGCACAACAACATTTATACATTCAAATTAAAGTTTTCAGTGATAAATCTAGCTTTTCAGATTGATGCTCAAACAGCCATAGTATTGTCTCGCCTGTATTCCTAAAGGATTAAAGTGACTGTTTTTAGGTCAAAGCTATCAATAAATGAATGAATAATTGGAATGTCATTCAAAAGGAACATTAACAGTTTTCTAGTCTCTAAATGTATACTTCTGAAAGCACTAATGCTGTATACGCAGAGAAAAAAAGTCAGCAAAGAACTGAGATAAAAATGGAAATATTGTACTTGTTACTGGTACTTACTGTTCAAACGTGCCTGAATAAGTCTGCATTTAAGGAGGTCAGTATCTTACACACTAATTTACTAGACATTTGTTTTGTATCTATCGAAATCTGATTATTTGTTCAGCTGCATTCAAGCAACCAACCAGTCATCCACAGTTTACTAGGGAACAGGGTTTATAAAACAAATAAATGATAAAATCAGCAACAACCAACTATAAAACATTAAAATGTAAACAAGTTCAACCTCTACAAAGACATTGTACTACTACTGCAAAGAAAAATACCATCAAGCTTACGCTTGTACTTGAGTTAATACAATTTATTCAACAACCTGCAGTAATTGTCACAAACTGCAGTTAATTCCAAGTACCAGCAACTACTTTTGTAAGCAATTTTTACAAGCCTGTTAGAAAAAGAATGAAAATGAAAATTAGGAACTTACTGTAGGCTTCAAATTTTGAGTATAGGTAAGATTTTAACGTGTTTTTTGTTATAACTCACTAACTTGAAAAAAAAAGTGCACAGAAAATATTTTCCACATTTTAAGAAAATGCTATGTAGACATAAGGATTTTAAGCTAACAGCCAGCCGTATGTTTGAAAGTATTTGTCAGGCTTTCTGTACTAACTTATGCATGTTGAACACCCTTTTATCTTCCCAAAGGATACTTTCTACACTACTACATTAAAAGCCTGGTCCCAAATTTCTATTTAATTAATATGGATCAAGTCAAAAAGGAAATAAAGCCCATATATTCATAGGCATGTTGGAAAAATCTGATTTCCACTGTCAGTCTGAACAAAATAGTATTTAAAACGTGAACACAGATGATCCATGATCCATGCTTCATTTTGAGTTTGCCAGATACTACAGTTCTCAGTCACAAATACTACCTGTTCAGGGCTAATACCTGCTCCACTTAAAGATTAGGTGTATTTTTCCCTCTCATTGAAACTTGTTCTTTTAAAAAAGAAGATATACTATTATTTTTGAATGACAGAAGGAGCCTCAGCCATTACAGTATTATGCTTGGCCCTTATGTAATCCCAGAAGAGTCCTGCCTTGGCATTATTTTTTAACTAAATTGATGCTAGGGTTAAGATAGCCTAAGTTTTTGGATTTGTCTGGTTTCTGTTTAGGTTTCCTATGAAGTCCAAGATACTATAGTCACTATCTTCCAAAATATTTGCATGGGCAATTTTACCCACACAAGGCAATTTGAAGAGACAAAACTACTCGATGTCTTGAGTGTCTGCAGAACACACTCTGTAGCAGGACTGGCTGTAACATGCATGGATACAACATCCCCCTTCAATTTCAGCAAGCCACTCCCCTCTTGCTTCAAGAATGCAGCACTAAATCTAAACCTTTTACTTGTAATAAACAACTTTCCCAACTAGAAAGTCTGCCTGATAAAAATAAGACTCCAAATATTGATTTTAATTGGAATGAAGTGCTGCAACATTATGCATAAAGCTTTAGTGAAGTGGCAATTTACCTAAGGGGTTTACTGATTGAAAAGCTCTCAAACCTGAAATCACTGGAGAGGTAGAAAGAAAAAAGGGACTCTGTGGGGTGGGGGTGGAGGGTAGACTGGTAAAACAAATCCCTCTCTACAAATCTGAAGCAGATGTTACTGTAGAGGCAAGTCAATTCAGCAAGGTACAATCAGCTTTACAAAAATCATTCTGTTAAAAGAGAACGGGCTCTTGAAAGAGCTAAATGTTTTTCTGTTCATTTGCCATACTAAGGAATCTTCAAGGAGACTGGTGTTGCAATTACAACTAATCCTCCCCAAAAAATTAACTGTGTTGAAGGCTTTGTAATTTCCCTAGGTACAATTTAGCTGTCACTTACTTTAAAATTTACTCAAACATGCGTTCCGAACAGCACTAACTTCACATGTCAAGTGCTTTCCAGCCAATTGAGTCTAAACTGGAAGTCGGTGTTAAACAACTGAATGATTAGACAAGATAGCTCATTTCCCTGCTCTTTTGTTCAGAATAAAATGCCACATTTACATTATCAGACTCAACAGGATTTTCTGACAGAGGGAGAAAAAACCTTAGTGAACACTGTCCGTACCAAGCACATGAAGCCTGTCATTTACCAATCATCCTTCAAAAAGCAATAGCCATGAATGTAACTTAATTACGACCCAATGATCCTTGACGAAAAATCATCTTATCACTGTCCTGTCCCCATAGGGCAAATGAGACACTTTCGTCCTTTGGCACTGATAATGCTAAATTCCTAATTGCAATAATGGAGTAAGGGAGCCAAACATCCTTAATTTCATTGCAACACGTAAAGAGTTTTAATACAAATATTTGAAATAAGGCCGCTAAAAATCAGAAAAAATCTCCCCACTAGACATATTTTTCACCCACTAAAAATATAACCTAATTTTAAAATATGCCTATTTGTAAAAGTAAATTTAAAAGTCAATTAACTTGTATGTGCTCCAGAATCATCTCAAACCAAATCATAGGCTGATTTTTAACTCCGTGAAAACAACAGAAGAAAAATTGTCAAGGCACTGGATTCACGCTGTATCTGCTACATATGAAACAACACAAAATGGGTTTATATAAGTTCATAATCACAAACCACCACACAATGCTTTACTGGACAACACTGTACTTAAAATACACTGACCATTTTTAAAGAAACACAATCCAGCTATAGTCTTTTGATTGTTTAAAATACAGATATTAACTGCTTATGTTCACTGACTTCAAACTACAAAATATTTTGTTCATACAGTCTGCAACACAATGTTTTCGTAGTTTACCTGGAAGTTTTCTTCCCTCTGCTTAAGAGCACTTCTGATACAGGGAATCAGTACATTTCAAACCTGAAGATGTTTTGGTTTGTTTCTTTTCTCAGAGGTGATATTATTCAAGGAGAGCAGAAAGAAACTTATGCTAATGAAAAGACAGGAACCATATCGAGTTTTTAAGATGTGCACTCCTACTTTTGGTTGTACAAAAGTTGGCTTGTGCAGCTTTCTTGAAGGAAGAAAAAAAGCATCAGTAGTTACTGTAATTTTTAATTTATCATCCTGTAGATAGGTATTATCAAAGTATTGTATAGCACAGGAGCAGGTCAGCTTGATAAACCTCTTCAGTTTTGTAAAATGGCTCATGTGCCAATAGGTTTCCCCTGACATCTGGTACAGAAGGTAAAAGCCAAAACTACAATCGTTAAAGTCGTAAGAAATTTTATATGGTGTAGGTAATCTTCAAAACCTTTTCCAATTATTAGCAGTTGGAAGAACCAGTTCAAAAGACATGTTTTAAGAAAAAGTACATGCTCTTCTCGTCCTTGCAGACTTTAGAAACTAACATTTTTGTCGCACTGTCCAAGGCAGATTTATCACCTTGAATGACACACCATCTCAATTTTTGATGCGATTTCACCATCTTTAGAAACTGTTCAGAATCATAACTAAAGATCACACAATTAAAAGCGGGGGGTGGGAGGGGGTGGTTCCCCTTAAATTTACTCAGGGTAAAAAAAAAAACAAACCACAAAACAGTATGAATTCTCTCTCTAGCTACTTCAGTTACGTATTTCTCAAAATATTAAAGGTAAAATGTCCATTCTACTAAAATATTAGATTTTGTTAGCTTTTGTCAAGTTATACTGTTAATCATCCACAATTTTTTTCTCTTCCATGCTCTGCTGAAAATTGTCACTTTTAACATGCACTAGGACTTAAGAATTTTAGAATATTCAGGACTGCGTAGAAGGAAAAGGGGTAGATGAATCATTTGACACCTAGAATTGTTGAAATCTTCAAAAACAAACCACAGATTCCTTTACAAGCAATTAAAAGGTTTGAAATAAATTAAGAACACAAAACACTAAAACAACTACTGCTGTGGAACATTAAAAAATATCCTAGAGCTAATTTCAGAGGTATGCTGACGACCTGCAGCTAAATGACAGCATTTCAGCATGATACTTGAGCTGTAGGATTGCAAATAGTAAGCACTACTATTTGAAATGACTAACACTGATTTCAGTCACTCATAACTTTGAAAAACTCTCAGCATCTCCAAGTCAAAACCAAAAAAAAAAAACCCACAACAAAAACCCCCAGAAATTCAGTTATTCCTTCCAAGCAAATCACATGGAAAAAGCTTCCCCCTTCTGTTCTAACACTGGAGAGGAAGCAAGTCTCTCCACCCATAAGGTGGCAAAAAAAAAACCATAGGAAATGAGATTACTTTGTATTGTATTTCTATATATGAAATGTATTATGAGTTATACAGGTGAGTACCAATGACTTGTAGCCATACAATCCCACACTACGGAATTACTTTCTTCTTTAAAACTGTAGTCTCACCAAAAGACCCTTTATTAAAAAAAACTTTTTAGAACGTTTTACCAAACATATATAATCTAAAAGAATGTGGAAACAAACTAAAATAACACTTTACTGTCCCTCTTTGTATCCACACACGATCACGTCCTTATCTACATCATCATATACTACTTCAAGTGAAAAGAGCCCAAGTAGCACCACGTACAACTTGCATGTCAACATGCATAAAGCAATTACGTCAAATGCAGCCGCTCTTACTGCACACTGCAAAGCATATCAGATATTTTCCCGACACATTAGTTACATATGATTGCAGTTAAATTACTTCCATAAACATCTGCCTTGTCTTGCGATATAACCAAGGCAGTGTGGCTGACTGAAAAGACGTACGCTATATTGTTAACTGTTGACCACTGCACTGAAACATTATTGTAGAAAGGAATGTGCGTGCATCTACCAGGAATTCTATCTTTTTGACAAGAATTTTGAACACAGAAAAAGTTATACAGACTTTGCATACTCAGAATACTTACAAGAACTAACAAAATTCTACATGTGAACAGAAATGTTAATATACATCTTTGAGGCATCAAATTATTTGAACCATGTGACTTAAAAACATTTCAGTGTTCAACAATCACCCTTCAACTCACCTGAGATGTACTGGATGGCACAGCAAAATAATGCCGTTTTAATGGCAAAATCATGTCCTACTTAACCACAAGAGCTGAGAATACACCTATTATGCTCTCAATAGCTAGCTATCTTGTCAAACAGACCTCAGAACCAAGTAATTCATGAGCATATTCCAATATATAGTCACCTCGTCTCTGATGCGTCCATAAAACACAGCTGTTGCTCCCATAGACCACGATGTGACATATAATTGATGAAAACAGACTTATCTAACTTAAGAAAACTGTCATTCATTACCATTCCTGGATCACCGAAGTATTACGTGCGCGTGCATGTGTACATGTTTACATGCATGAGCAGCTGTGCATAGCATATACAGGTCATGTAACATAAATAAATACCATATCATAACTTGTTTCGTCTGAAGCCCAAATATAGCTTACTTTTCAAGGTGAACTGTAATCAGAGGGGAATGAAGGACAGCAGTTTCTGCCAACCCCAAGTTCACAATGGTCTCATGCAATCGATTCACTGTTTCAACTTCACCTCGCATGGCAGCGGCATTAAGAATGCGGAAAAAAGATGCAACTGTTCTGTCTGAGATAGGAACATCCTTCTCTTTCATCTCCGTTAGAATGTTAATAGCATCTACAATGAAACAACACAAAAGACCCTTAGGTAATTTCATGTAGGG